ACCCCACACTGAGCACAGAGCACACTGTACACCCCCCACTGAGCACAGCACCAGAACAGGACCCACTCCAATGAGGTACCTCCCCACCCTTCCCCTTGTGTGTGCGGCGTCGGTCTCTGCACAGCTCAGAGAGGGACCAGGCCATAGGCGTCCTTGGTGTTCTGCTGCTCAGAATGAGCTGTCACAGCGCAGGACGTCAGATACTCAGGTGTTTAGGGCAGGCCTTCTTTGGACACTCCTGCTCACCTAACGCTCAGTTATAAGGCTGTGCATGGTTTGGCACCTCAGTACCAGTCTGAGTTACTATCTTCCTACTCCCCAACTCACAGCCCCCTTTATTCTAATTCTGGTCTCCTGTCTGTCCTCCGAGCACACCTACACCACTCTAGGGGTGTCGGGGTCTTCTCCTGCTGTGCCCCAAAGCTCTGGAATTCAGTTCCTAAGAATATCAGAGTCCCCTTCCCTGAGCTCTTTCACACCCCAACTCCAAACCTTCATTAGAAAGGCTATTACTTACCTGGTTCTGTGTCTATATTGTATATAGTGTATTCTACTATACTGTATTCCAAACCCTTGTTGTAATTGTTTAATCCTGCTGTCTCCTTTCGTTGTGTAACTATTTTCTTACTGTAAAGCACTTTGAGATGCCACTTGTAAAGATGCTATATAAATGTATTATTATTATTATTATTATTATTATTATTATTATTATTATTATTATTATTATTATTATTGAGGGATGAGGAGCATTTCAATTTCCTGAAGAACCACCAAAGCTAATTAGTACACAAAACCTATTACTGTATATAATTTCCTCACTACACTACCATTTACAAGCAGGTGATTCCCAAGAACCATTAACAGACTGTTCATTAACACTCATTGAAATGATGTATTCCATATTATTTCATTTAACAAAAAAGGGGATTCCAGATAATGTGAATGTGTCTTAATCTGATGAAAACAGGTTCTTGTAGAAGCACTGTTCAGAGGGAGTATCTATGTTCTGCCACCTCATCCTCACAATTGTATTGCAGAGGTCACATTCTGGCTGTTTTTTTGTTTTTCATTTTTTGAAGAATTTGTTAGACGTTGTTGTAAAGGGGGCAGATGTTCATTCCAGTGGGCCACCAGTCCTTACCAAGTCCTGATGTTTTCAATATGGGACACCTGGGTCTGTGCTGGCAGAGCCGATGAAGGTTTCAGTGACTTAAGGTGCTCAGCTCACTCTCTGTGTGTGCAGGTTCTGTACTCACGAGACATCTTGTTTACTTAAATGCAAATGGAAGCCAATCGCGTCTCCAGAGAGCACACTCTCCGTCACTTCAGGCAACATTTGAGCAGCCCTGTGACATGAACTCCTTGCACTGTCCACATGCACAGTGCTACTGGTTGTAGTGCAGGATCACTTAGCCTGGAGACTACATTAGCCTTCAAAGAACAGCTTTCATTTATATACCAAAGGAACTGTTAAATTACATTGGTCAAAGTCTCCAGGTTGGAGGCTTTTTGTGTTTTGTTAGAGGGCAATCAGAGCTTTTAAAGACATCATCCTGCTAACGAGAAACAACTCTGAACTTTGATTGATCGGCTTGAATATTGCTTGTCTTTGCTTTGTAATTAGTAGTCACAGCAGGAGCACAGTGCAGGTCTGCGAGTGATCAATTGCTCCGCTGTCCCAATGTACATTAAAACCCTTACAAATTTCACTTCCAGCTACGAATCGAATTGTCTACCTCCTTGGGATTTCTCTGGCTCAGTAATTGTTCTTGTGAGTCCTTCTCCTGTCCCATTAAGAAGCGTGTTTTATAACGAATGAAGCATAGATTTAAAAAGAGTCCTTGGTCCCCAAAAATGCATTAAGAGAGAATCAACTGCACCCCTGTGGTGTTTGGACCACCTGCAGCATGTGAATACATTATCAGACCTGGAAACATTTCAAATCCCCAAATATGCAGGTGGTCTGTGATGCCAAAGAAGTTATCATCAGTGTCTTTAGTAATTACCCCAGTGTAGCATGTGTTTTACTTGCACTTATCTGAAGCTGGTTGTCTTGTGACCTGATTTGCCTGCCCATTCACACCTGTTTTAGGCCCATATAATGATCCATAGGAGCTCCCTCTTCTGCAGTGTCTCTACAGGGATCTGAAATCCATTGTCTATGATCCATAGAACACTACCTCATAGGTGCCAACGTCTCATGTTTTAGGTCATCTGAAAATAGATTCACATTGGCCAAACATTTATGAATGTTTCACTTATAATAAGAATAGGTTATGAAGAACTTGTTCTTGGGCATTGAGTTCTTGTTATTGAAGATGTCTTCACTGTCCAGTGAAATGGAATTTCTGAGAATGCAGGGCATAAAAATGCACTTTGTGTTTTTTTTTTCAGAACTTGTCACTGCGCACATGTTTTGTGCAATCATTATTTTCTAGAGGCGGTGACAGTCAGATTACTCTTGATACATTTCCATCACAAGATCTCACCCTTCCAATCCATTCGTGATGAATAATATTGAGCCCCTAGCTTTTGTACAGTATCTTCATTTTTGCAACAAGTCAATCTCTTCTCATCATTAACAATTAACCACATAAGTATCCATATTTTTGCAGTCCTCAGTTTTGCTGCAGTGCTTGTGCTGACCTCCTCACCATCATTAAGCTCAATGTAATTTTGCTTTCTGTTACTAGGAGAAGTCAAATTAAGTGCAGGTAATGGGTGTGTGATAATTTGATACGTTTGTAGGGCTGGATTTTCAAATGACAAATCTATTTCTGAAATTTACAATAGCCATCCTGCAGAGTTAATGATCAAACAACAGTTACCTGTGATTCACAGATAGATAAGTAACAAATCAAAGAATTAACTAACAAGTCAGACAAGCTGACTATGGAGTCCAGAACAAGACATAATAGTTACTTAGCACTGTAGAATTCTGCTATGATCTCCCAGACATGTACAAAATGGAAATACATTCACCACTGCTGTAACAACAATGTGATTAAAAATACTATGGCACCCGTAGAACTGGCACCAGTGCATCGTCTTGGTGATGCTTAAGAAAATATTGTTATATCTGAAACCGATGCCACGACATTACACAATATACCAGAATGCACACATCATTCACACACTGCATTGCTGCGTTGTTGCTGCAGAAACCCTACGTGTGCAAAATTCCCGGCTGTACAAAGCGCTACACGGACCCCAGCTCTCTCAGGAAGCACGTGAAGACTGTCCACGGGCCGGACGCTCACGTCACGAAGAAGCAGCGCAACGACGGTCACCCCAGGCCTCAGCCGCAGAAGGAGAACGGGGAGAATGAAGCCAGCACCAAGCAGGGCGGCAGAGGCCCGGAGGAAAAGGCAGAAGCCAACAGCACCACCAGAGGCGTGGAGGACTGCCTGCAAGTCAAGTCAATTAAAACGGAGAACTCGGTGGTAAGATTTGTTCATATCAGTAGACCTGTGGCTGAGGCGACACATGGGCCGCAGTATGCAAATACCAGACAGCAAACAGTGTTTCACTGCCAGTGCTAGCTCATCGTTACAGGGAAAGAAAGGGAAAGCACTTCCATATGAACAGATTCATTATGACTGGTGATTCACGGCAGAATCGAATAATAATCTTAACCCTGAGCAGTATGATTATAATCAAAGGCAGGCTGGCTATTTAACATAAGGTGCACATGTGCCTCATATCCTAGCTACTTTTATTTGCCCTTTTTTATCTTGAAATGCAGTATGCTGTTGTTTCTAATAGCTTACAGATTTTGCTTGCTAACCTTAACTTAAAATTTGATTTGTTCTAATGAGCATACTTAAAGTAGTGACTTTTCAAATTTCTGTACAATAAAAAAAAAACATTTCTTACTATTTCCAAGTTTTGCCTGTTATACTAACACCCCTTTGTTGTTCTGTATGTGTCGGTCTTAATTATCTTTTTCTTTTCTATTGTGTCTTCTAACACATTTCTCTGGTTGTTACTTCAATGTCTCTTTTTCTCTTTCAATGTACCTTCCTTAAGGACAGACATTACTAAGGTGAGCACAGCTCTAATCTGGCTTTTCACACTCTGTAAAATGTTTTTTTGGAGTAAAAAACTAAAAATTAAGGGGTTTCATACTGAAATTGTACCTCTGCTTTTGTAAACAAGAGTGTCTGACACTACTTTTTGAGTGATAGAAATGCTTATTCAGAACTTACATTATTACACAAGAGAAGCACTGTATTTTCTGAGATAAAGATAGATAGATAATACTTTATTAATCCCGTAGGGATTATTAAAAAATTATATAAAGCACTATAGTTCACTACCTTGTAAGCTTTATCAATTACACATATATAATTTGTCTCCCTGAGAGCTCGCCCTGTCAGCTCCATTGTGCTACCATAAAAAGATTAGGAGCAGCACAATGATAAAAGCCATTAGTGAATAAATATTCAAAAATAGATTATTCTTTCTGTTTAACAGCCATAGTCTTCGGTCAAGAAGTGATCAAGAACTTGATTCTCCTGTTTTTTATTCAGCTCAGGACAGAGTAAATTATTTTAATCAAAGCCTTGAAAAACGTGACCTCAGGAGAACTAAAAATTCACGTGATTTCTCCGTTGCCTTTAGATCAGTGTCTCTCTGTACTGTACTTCTGCACAGCATCTTAACATGGCTTTAAAAGATGTTTTTCCTTCTGCATTAGAAGTTCTGCTTCATAACCCTGAGCCTGAAAGAATGTAGTAAAGGTTGCGCTACAGTCTGTATAAGGATGCATGCTCCTGACATGAAAACGTGTAGCTCACGGTCTGCTCACCATGGCTTTGGAGCTGCTCTGTGAGGTTCCTGTGTAGGGAGACCTAACAACTGCAGACAAGTTAATTGCCCTATGGAGGCAACAGTTCATAGCGTACCAAATAACACGTTACAGTGTTACAGAAAACTGACTCAGACAAACTGCTATTGTAGACACAGCCATGTACAGAACTTCCAGACCACTGACTGTTTCGGACAAGACCTTCAACAGGGGATGGGTTGGGAAGGGCTGGATTTTCCTTTCTTCAACCTTTTTTAGAAAGCAGAACATACTGAAACGAGCACGGATATAGAATCAAGCCGCAGTTAGGTTTTACGGACACGTTATTGTGGGTTTTCCTATTCTAGCCAAGAGACCTGTGTCATGTAATGGAAGGTAAGGCCCTAAAGTAAACCCGGATCTTGTCTCCACACCAGATGTATCAGTCCAGCCCTGGTGGTCAGTCATCATGCAGCAGTGAGCCATCCCCGCTTGGCAGTGCCACCAACAATGACAGTGGAGTAGAGATGAACATGAACAGTGGAGGCAGTCTGGGAGACCTGACTGCCCTGGACGAGCAGCCTGTGGTGGACTCCACCGTTTCCTCGGGAACCTCGACAGTCAGCCTGCAGCTTCGCAAGAACATGTCAGCAACCCACAGACTTGAACAGCTCAAGAAGGAGAAACTGAAGACGGTGAGGGATTCTTGTTCCTGGGCCAACCCAGCTCCTCAAGTGCGAAACACCAAGTTGCCACCCATACCAGCAACTGGTAAGTAAAGACATGGATACGGTACATGTTGCAGATCCTAAAAATGCATGACTTAGAAAATTCAGGAAGGTCATTTGACTTTAGAATAAGAAAGTACACATTCATGGGTGAATAAAAATCAACTAGTTGTTAAAACTTAAAACCAAAGCTACAGCTCCCCAGATGACTGGAACCCTAGCTAACAAAGCAAGAAAATAGCATTTAACAGTGAGACTGCCCCCTTCCCCCTGTTTTGCAAGAATTGCTAAGAATTTAAAAGAAATTGAAAGAAGCAGGGCCTGTTGTTTTGAACCTTATTCACATATCTGTTGAGCTTGCAATATTCTGAATTTGTATTTTCACCTGTCTAGGTTCTTTGCTGGAGAGTTCAAGTGTCAGTGGGCCCCCAGCTGTGTTCTCCAACCTGAGGATAAGCGAACTGTCTTCCAGCGACGTCACGATCCTCAACCAGCTGAACGAGCGCAGAGACAGCACGACGAGCACCGTCAGCTCGGCCTTCACCCTCAGCCGCAGGTCTTCGGGAATATCGCCCTGCTGTTCCAGCCGCCGATCCAGCGAGGCGTCCCAGTTTGGCGGCCGCCTCAACAACGTCAGCTCGGCAGACTCCTATGACCCTATCTCCACGGACCTGTCGCGGCGATCCAGCGAGGCGTCCCAGTGTGGGGGGCTGCCCAGCCTCCTCAACCTGACCCCAGCCCAGCACTACCGGCTGAAGGCCAAGTATGCTGCCGCCACCGGAGGGCCTCCGCCGACCCCTCTGCCCAACATGGACCGCATGGGTCTTAAGACCAGGATGGCCTTGTTCAGGGACGCGCAGGAGTCCTCAGCTCCCTCATTTCCTCTTCCCGCCGTGCCAAGAAGATGCAGTGACACCAGTTACGCTGCATCCAGCATGATGCCTCATGAAGTGCCGGGAAATGTTGTCCGTCGTGCCAGCGATCCCGTCCGCAGGCCAGCAGCCGATCCCCTGTCCCTCTCTAGAGTCCAGCGCTTCAACAGCATGAACAGCATGATCCCCATCCCACCAGCGACAGAGAGGCGGAACTTCAGCCTGCAAAATTACACACGCTCAGACGGCAGTCTTCACAGGCAGTCTTACTCTTCTAGGCCACCCAGCATCTCTGAAAACATTGTTATGGAAACAATGGCTGGAGACATGGACAACAGGAACGTGGAGGATGACATAGTGCTGCCAGATGATGTTGTGCAGTACATCAAATCCCAGAATGATGGATCTTATCAGGACATCAGCGCACCAGGGTACAACAGCCAGGCACAAGGTTTCCAAGGAAATATGGCTTCACAGCAACAGCAGCAATTTTATGGTCAGCGAAGAATGGCTATGGTGGACGCCAACATGAACTCTACAGGGCCAGTGCTGCCATCATGCCAGCTGAGTCCAGGAAATCAACAGCAGTTCCCCAGTTCACCCAATGTGAACAAAAATAACATGCCTGTCCAGTGGAATGAGGTCAGCTCAGGTACTGGCAATAGCAACGTGACTCCAAGCCAAACAAAGCAGATGTTCGTTCGGGGAAATTTAGCCGTCGTGCAGCAGAAACAAAACTTCGGTCAGTTTCAGAACCTCAGTGCAAACCAGCAAATCATGCAAATGAATCAAAGCATTGCACATGCAGCACACCAGAGTTATATACAGAGGAACTCCAGCTTAAACTCCCAAAGGATGGCTTGTATGCAACAGAGACAACAGGTAATGAACCCTTGTCAAAATCTTAATGAGCAAGTGAGCCCCCAACAGGGGTACATCCAGAACAACTCACTCCTCGTTCCTCATGCCACAGATGGAAATACTGGCCAGCTGTCCTCCTGTAGTACTACGCCAGGCAGTACTCCAGGGATGTTAAATGGAAATAGCAGAGGAACGGCAGCTCAGACTCAGGAACTGAAGACTTACAGGTCTCGGCCCCAGCCTGGAGTAGGTCAGAACCACGTGACATTTGCCAGTGAGCATGAAAGTTACAGTTCAATGTCTTCCCAGATGAATCCCAACCAGCAGAATTACATCAGACAGCCACAGCCTGCGACAATGAGTCCATGTCAAAATTTCAATCGCGGGTTGGTGCAACCTCGGCCACCCTTAGTACCCAATGCCTTGAACAGACAGCTCTCAGGGCAGAGTACAATGCAGCAACAAGGATTTTTGACAAGTCCTCATTCTACCTACAGTACAAGCCCAGGCCACACTACATCAGAGGCAAGCCCAAAAAGATCCAGTAATATGACCCTTGCAGATAACCAACAGCATGCAAATGAAAACCGGGACAGCAATCTGATGTTCTATACAGGGCAGATCCACATGTATGAGCACAACGGGAGCTTTGAGGCCCAGGTTTCCTGTGCTGGGCAGCCCCCACCACCCCAGCAATGCGCCTCAGATACACTGGCCACAGCCATGGCCTCTCCAGGGAGCAATCAAGTGACCAGCACAGTGGACTCGCACGGCATGGAGCACACTCAGATAGATTTTGATGCCATGATGGACGATGGAGACCACTCCAGCTTGATCTCTGGGACCCTGAGCCCCAGTATCCTTCAGAACCTCTCCCAGAACTCCTCCCGACTCACCACACCTCGCAACTCCTTAACATTACCTTCTGTGCCCGCTGGCATTAGCAACATGGCGATTGGAGACATGAGCTCTATGCTGACGGCTCTTGCCGAGGAGAGCAAGTTCCTCAACATGATGTCTTAATCACATGGATGAGAAAAGGATGTCATAACAATAAGAATGGAAACAGTATCAATAAGAGACAAGAGAGGCTAGAAAGTCTCCTCCTGAGTGTGTGAAATGACTGCAACATTTCTCAGTGGTTGTATAACAGATGTAAGCAGGAGGACGTGACCTCATGCCTGACAGCTTCCCTGAGGAAAAATGTTTTAGTGTTTTTTTTTTGAAAAAAAAGCACTGATCTTTACTGCACCGTGTGGACCTCGAACCATTTATAACAGCTTCTCCAGAGGCTGAGAGTTGAAATTGAAATTTTATGTCTCCTTCCACATGTGTTTTGTTGCATATTACCTATTAGGAAACAAATTAAGATGCCAATCTTTTGTTACACAAAAGCCATACTTTACAATTATAGTAAAGTCTTGTGACCGGGGTGTAAATAAGCCACTGCAAAGTATTTACAACGTTGCTCTTTGTGAGGGATAAGTGTGATAAGTGCCTTGCTATAATGTATCTTGGACTATTAGTAAGAGCTTACACATTCTTAACATTAACTTGTAATATACTGCCAGAAAACAAAAGGATTTTTAGAAAGTTTTTTATTGTTATTACAGTACTTTCCTGCTTAAAGATATTCAATATACATAATCTAAATTATGTTAAGGATTCTGTCATGAATTGTTGCTGGTCGTTGCTTGTAAAAAGTACAGAGTAGCAGTTTTTCTACGAAGGGGAGCACCAACATGTCCCTAGAAAGAGACACCTGTAAAAGATACCGAGAGGAGGAACAGCATTTGTTATTTAGTTTGTTTTTACTACAGATGCACTATCAGAGCTCTGATAATCTGGTTTTGATGTTCATGATGTAGAATTAAAGAAAGGAGAGGCATATCTCATGTCAGGCAGCAAAGTACATGAAATGTGACTGGAAGTATCCTTCACTGATTTTCAAATGAATACTCAAGCGAGTACTCAGTATGGATTCTGTGAAGATTAAAAACCAATTAAACTCTAGATTGTGAAGTCAAAGGCTTTAAAGAATTCTACCACAAAAATGGCACAATAGGATATTTTAAAGGACAACATTATAAACGCGTTGGTTTTGTTTGTTGGAATTAAAAACATTTTGTACACTACGAAACGTTTTACTGTTCCGGGTATGTATATAGCTTTTGTACATTTTCTAAAATACAGTAACACTTTTTTTACTTAAATCCTGTGTGGCAAGTTTTTTGAAATCGCATGGTTCTTACCCTTGGGATGCATGAAAGCAAGCATCATTATTTTAGGTCTCCAGTAATCCCTAATGAATCCAAGGAGCAAAAAGGAAAATACATTGGATTACACGCACAAGAAGATTCATCTTAATCCAAGACTCACTCGTAAGGTATTATGGTTTTGTTATTATGTATTTTTGTGCTCGTCCTGGCAAAACAAAAGCAACAATGAAGAACTCAAAATTTTATATCGTGGGAACAGTTTCAGCAACACCTTAATGATCTAAAACCGAGAAAATAATTCCAGACGCCTGATATGTCGTAAACATCACAGTTTGGTGCTTAATTTATGTATAAGAATGCAGAAAGAAAAAACTGAAAATGCTGTGGATGATATTGAAAACAGAACAAAGAACATTACAGACCTGTTAATCTGCAGGGATTTGTTTTGGGGTTTGGGGTCCCTGTGTACAGTGGACAGGAGACTCCATGTGTACCGTATATCTTCTCCACGCTCTGCCTCAGTCCTGTTCACTCCAGACCTCCTCTTTCATTCTACACAGGATCTCTGCCAAGAGAAATGAACAGAATATTTAACATTATGCTAAGTTCTGCAGCTCTTTCTGTGCTACTCAGTGCTGAATGAAAGGATACTGCCACATTTACCAAGCTTCAACCTCACCATCCCCACATATAAGCAGTTAGCCTTTCTCTACGCACACACAGAGGTAACAAAACCAAGAACACCTCCTCCACCGTGAACAGTAATGCATGGAACTCCTCAGGCATCTGGAGCTTGAATCTTCCAGAATCTCAGTCTGATGTGTAATGATGCTCCCAAACCTACGTCAATGTATTAGATGTTTCTTATAATAATTCTTAATGTGTTAATGTACTATAAAAGTCTCCTGAGCTGTTTCAAAGGTTGGTTAATGGATGTCTGAACTGAAACAGGAACAGGATACTTGACTATTTTCCTATGACTATAACTATGAAGTTAGAACCGTCAGTTTACACTAAGTACAGTACCTAGCAATGCAATCAGCTGCACCAAGTATTAGTTCAGCACTTGTTGATATGCATCTACTGAAGCAGTCTTTATATTGGGACAACTTATTCTGCAGATATCATAAACAGTATCTGACCTAATGTTTACCTTTTCACATTTTTCTTTGATGATGCACAAACACTGTGATTTTCTACAACTGCAAACTTCTATCACTGGTTCTTTGTTAAGGGCAGTGTAGTGGGTAAGTCTCTGAATTCATACTATAACTGGTGGGATGTGGGTTTGAGTCCCTGCTGTGGACACAGGTACAGTACTTTACCCCAGTGGCTCCAGTCCGCCCAGCTGTTAGCGTGGCCCAGCATTGCAGGGAGTCATCCCTGTAAATGGCCAGTGTCCTATCAAGGGGGAAGACACTTATCTCATCTGCTTAACATTGTGGGAACCAGGATAGGTTCTGTCTTGATGAGCTGCAGTAACGCAAATAAGGAAATTACCTTACCAGGATTAGAGCTAATTAGATTTCTTTAGGAAAAACAAAGTTTCTCCATAATGTTGGCAAAGTATTTATCCCTGATTTTCTTCCCCAGAAAAAAAAAAACAGATGAAATGAAGGATACTCTAAAAACCAAAATGCAAACACTAAGCAGTTTCTAAAGTTAGCTCGAATGTTGTCCAAAATTAACAATGGCAGATTGGCCCCAAGGAAATGGTTTCTGAAACCACATGAAACAGAGGGTGGCTTTGGGATTCAGCAATTTATTTAAGCAAAGGGAACAAATGATTTTATTTTGACAGTGAATTCAGCAGAGAATGTGTTTGATCCTAATATACTGATTGCTTCTGCCACTAGAATCCCTTATTCTTTCTGAGAAAAGAAGAGGTAGGAAAAAATAGCCCCAGGACAAGTTCTAGAAAGCACTGAACAACAGGGTAGAATGAGAACTGACTCGTTCAAAAACTTACGAGACTAATGCTAATGGAGCAAAATAAATTAAGATGGTAAAAATACCTATGGCGTGCATGGTGAATAAAGAATATACAAACATTTCTTCAGCCCATTAGCCCAGCATTTGAACTGCTCATTTTCAGCAAAACTTAACAGATGAAATGAGGTAGACAGTAAGACTTTGAAAACAATGTAACACGGTCACTATATATTGCAGGAAATAAAGGTTGCAACCATGATTTTAAAACTCTGTCCTAAATATTTACCATCTCAGACAGCGTGGCACACAATGTGGTGTGGTTTTGAATGTGCCTGTATATATATTGCGTGTTCTGCACATTGTTTTACAAACCACAATTAATGGGTCCAGCATTTATTTACAAAAACACAGTAGCAGTAGGTGAGGTCTGTAATATAGCTGTGTTTGTGGTACCAGAGCGTTGGCTCAGAGCGGTAGCATCTAGACATTACTTGAATGTTCATCATCTGTCCATGTTCCAACTGCTTTATCCAATATAGTGTCATGGGGGAGCCTATTCCAGCAAGGAAGGGGCTCAAGGCAGGATACACCCTGGATGGGACGCCAGTCCATCTCAGGTTGCACTCACACCAGGGACCTTTTCCTCAGAAGCTGATTAACCTACAGTACCAGCAAGTCTTTGGACTCTGTGAGGAAACCAGAGCACCTGGACGAACATTACTGGAGTTTGATTTTTGGAATTCTGAAGATCCAAACCTCTCTGGAAATATAGTACAGTATGTAACAGAGCATGTGACTTGTAGGGACCTACAGTATAGTATACTACATTACTACACTATACTACACTCAAAAACACATAGGAAGCGGCAGATCTCCTTGTCAGGGACACACACAGTACAATACCATAACTCGGACTGCTGTGGCAGGGAGAATGGAGTGGTACAGTGAAAATAAAGTTAGCCCACTACTTTTTGTCAACTCAGGGTTATTCTGATGTATTCTGATGTTTTTTGTCAACTCAGGGTTATTCTGATGTCCTTTAACAATACTACAAAACAAAACGAATGCATAAAGTGTACAATCGAAAGAATACTAAAGTACTGTATATCTTTTGGAAAAGAGGATTGACTTAGATGTAAGGACACCCAAAGTTATATATTTAAGTGAACATAAAATATTGCTAAGCAATTCAGCCTCTGGTTCTGTTCATCTGGTTCCCAAATTACCAACATCAGCTTTTCACTTTCTTTTTGTTTTTAAAACAGTACTGTCCCTAAAAGTGCTCCAACACCCTCTGCAGGAAAATCTACCGTATCCTTCTGGAGACCCTTCATATTCCACCTAAGAAACATCACCTGATATCCGACCTTAGAGGTGAGCTGTGTAACAGGCTTCTCAAGGAAATAAATCAGCTTTGTAAAGTGTAAAGGGTACACATACTGTATAGTAGCGCGGCTCCCGCTTCAAACATTGTATTTTGTCCATCAAATACTGTACAGTGGGTCTCTGACTGGGAGAGAAACTTCTTATCACATCATAGTTTTTATTGTCCCATTTTAGCCCGATAACAAATACAAGTTGTTGAAAGTATCGGACTTCAGAGAGCCGGTTTCATTTTTTAAAGTTTTTCTTTTGCAACGTGTTGCCGTCTCCCTGAAGCTGTGAAGTGTAAAGGCCGCTTTGTTAGCGCCGATAGCTCGCTTCCGACGGCCCCTCGGCAGCTGTCGCTAGTAATCGCCACCGGACAGCTGGGACACAACCGCAGCTGACAGACTGTTTTCTGGGGCTAGACAGAGTGGAAGAAAAAACTTTTTTTTAAAAAAAATGGAAACGTGATTTCCGCGGCACACGGTTATTTAAAACAATATCACGATTATTTCAGCTCCACAAACAAAACGCGCGGTAAGCTCCTGAGTGTCCGACACCATTTGCCACCGCACATCAGCTCAAAACGTCGGAGGTCGAAGCACGACGACTCGGTGCTTCAGGTGTCTGCGGCTTCGGCACGTTTCAACAGCCGTGTTCACAAGGGGAAAGCCCAGCCCGGCTGCGATACTGCGGGATGCTCATCTGATCAACCGAAACCGACTTTGTGGAGGGCGGTGATCGCTCTTGCAGAGTAAACACGTCGGGGGGGACAAATAACTAAACTGCTCTCACTGTACAAGGCTGTATTTAACTCGTGGTACTGTATAAAATATTTAGCTAGGAAAATACATCGAATTGATCTACAGAGGATTGGTTTTTAATACGTAATGCAGTGAAATGTCATATTTCATTTAGTTTAGTTTTCATTTGGCGCTAGCAAGCTGTGTAATTTTTACTGCCCTAACCAACTCCATCTAGTTTGAGACAAACTTAAGACCTTTGCTGGTGGTAACAGTTCTGCACTGACCAGTTACCAGCAGGAGACAAAGTATAGGCGGCAATGAGATCTCAAGTCAGGCACATCTAACATAAAACATAAAATCTCTTCTAATGCATGCATTCCTTAGAAATGTAAGTAAATCTGAAAAATAAGACGTCAGGCTCAAGTCAACAAAGTGCAACGGGATGCTTTTGAGTTCCTGTACAGATTCTCCATGATGTTTCTTTTACGGGCTTTTTAAAATAGACCTTTTTATTGAGACTGCTATTTTAAGGAACAAACTCATGCCATTCTTTACTCTTTGACCTGTGCAGGCAGGTCATCATAACCCACAAGGTCGCATAGCTGGCCTTTATCACAGGCTAAACAGTGATCAGCATCAAAGGACCAGAGAAGAGAGAAGCCCATTGAGAGAGCTGAATTATGACCTGGGCCGCAGAAAGGGAAACTTGCTCTTTTGATACGAGATCCCTGTTGTGCCCACAGCTCTATAACTGCCCCTTTTATTGGTTCGCAATCTTCTGTAAAGGGGCAGATTGAGATTTGCCACATTTGTTCTCCGACCTTTGACCCAAAAATCTATAACCAGAACATAGAAAGGTCACAGTCAGTTGGTCCCCCTGCACAAGCTCTTAAGAAATGTCATGGTTTCTTCTGATGTTGGGATTGAACTG